GTAGCTAAGAAAGATGTATTCGTTTCCTACAGCTGCCATAACAAAATGCCACAAACTAGGTTGCCTAAAAAACATAACAAGGGGCTTCCCTGGTGGCGCAGTGGTTGAGAGTCCACTTGCCAATGCAGGGGACACGGGTTCATGCTCCGGTCCGGGAAGATCCCACATGCCGCGGAGCGGCTGGGCCCGTGAGCCATGGTCGCTGAGCCTGCGCATCCGGAGCCTGTGCTCCGCAATGGGAGAGGCCACAACAGTGAGAGGCCCACATACCGCAAAAAAAAAAACACACACACACAAAAAATACCCACCAAAAAACAGAGGGACTTCCCTGGCAGTCCAGTGGTTAAGACTCTGTGCTTCCACTGCAGGGGGGCATGGGTTTGATCCCATGTAAGATCCCACATACCACGTGGTGTGGCCAAAAATAAAAAAATAAAACAAAAATTTATTCTCTCACAGTATTAGAAGTCCAAAATCAAGGTGCTGGCAAGGTTGGTTCCTTCTGGAGGCTCTGAAGGAGAGTCTGTTCCATGCCTCTCTCCTAGCTTCTGGTGGTTGCCAGCAATCCTTTGTGTTCCTTGGCTTGGAGACACATCACTCTAATCTCTGCCTCCATCTTCACATGGTGTTCTCCCTCTGTGTGTCTCTTTGTCCAGTTTCCCTCTTATAAGAACTCCACTCCCTGGATTGGGGCCCACCCTAACTGAGGAATGCCTCTTGGTCAGGCATTTGTGACTAATCCCTCTCCTCTCTGGACCTGCAGGTGCTTTTAACAAAAATATCTCTGTTATCCAGTCGTTGAGAAATTTTTGTTTGGAGGTGCAAAGGTCCTGGGGCATGTGTGAATGTGACTTTTTTTTTCTCTTACATTTCTTGAATGTGATCTTTTTGACAGCCACCATTTAAAGAGAAAATCCCTAATCAGAAATCTTTAGGTTTTCAGGAAGACAGGGTTTGTTTGTTTTTTTCCTTCAAGATTTCCAGACCTTTCTCTTTATCTGCAGTGCATGCCTGAGGAGGTGTTGCTGGGGCCTCAGAGAGTTTGGAAGGACCAAGGGGATGAGGTTTGGTTCTGTGTATGTGTGTGTGTCTGTCTTTAAGAGTAAGACACACAGATATATGTGTAGACCCCCATAGAGAAACATGGGGACAGATGAACATGTAGGCAAGAGACAGGGACCCCCAGAGGTAAAGGCACAGAGTTCTGTTCTTCGTCACATGGCTCCCTCCCTTCACCTCTCGCATGCACACATGTCCCAGTGAGATCTTTCTTGGCCTTCTTATCCTTCTCAGCTGAATTCTTCCCCACAGCACATATCCTGCGTTTCCCTCATGTATTGGGTTTTTATCTGCTACCCGCCCCGCTGTCCCCCACCAGGAGAGCAGGGCTTTTCATGTTTTGACTCACACACACAGTGGTAGGTGCTCAACAGATATTTGTTGAATGAGTGAACCCAGAGGGATGCACACGGCAAGGCCTGTGGTCAGAGAGGGTGTCAGAATTGCACGAGGGCCTGTGTGAAGCCCTGCGTGCAGGTGGCAGAGTTGGGGCCTCCTGCTTTGCTCTCCACCCTCGTCACCCTACTGCCCTCCCCCTGCACATTGGGGTTTACTGTTCTGTACTGGACTATAAGACAAGTCCTCTGGCCCCTTCCAGCTAGACTGTGGGTCCACAGCAGGAGGGAGGGGTCCAGCAGCTCCTGCAGCTTCTGGAGATGAGGCCTGGGCCCAGCTCCCCATGCAGGGCCACCCCGGCCAGCAGAGGGTCAACACATGTAGGGGTGCCCTGTCCTGGGCTGGGGCACTTCCTGTAGATTCTTGGGGCTGAGGGGGGTGAGGGGACAGGGAAAACCAGTCTGTCTGGTTGAGATGGGGGAGGGCAGAAACTAAGGCGGCTCCCTGGGCACAGGGCCAGGGCAGCAAGGCCAGAAGGAACACCAGAAATTCCCACTGCTTATCCAGCAGCCTTGTCTCTCAGAGGCTGCGCTTGCTGATCCGGAAATCAGGGCTGGGCAGGAGGGCGAGGCAGAGACCAGAGAGCCTGGATGCCTGCGGGGCCTCCCCCCTCGGAGCCAGCGAAGTGTCCTCATTTTTTATACATCACTAAGTAACTCAGTAGCCCAGGTTCCAGAGAACGACAGATCTGGGTTCAAATCCTGCCCTGCCCTTTACCCACAGGTGACCGTAGATGACTCATTTTCCTCTGAGCTCCTGTTTGGAAAATGGGGATAATACATAATACTGACTAATGAGAGGGTTATGGGGAAGTCAGTGAAATAAAAGGGAAGGTGCTTACCTGAGGCCTGGCACACAGCTGGAGGGCATTATGTGGTTATTGTGACCAAGCCCATGAGTAATACACCAACAATTGATAAGTGTACATTAGTGTAAACCCAGATCGATCCTTTCTTGATTTTTCAGTTCACCGCATTTTCTAACTTCCTTTCAGATAGTTGGAACCAGGCAACACGATGGCATGGAGGCCTGTAAGGACCCTACTTTAAGTGAGGAGATATCTGCCCCTGACACGCTCAGTCCTCCCCTGGGAGGGTCCTGCGTCCTGCTGCTTCGGGAGTGTCTGTTTTCCTTTGTAACAGTGACCCTCCCCCAGCCCTGGGGACTTTTGGCCCCGCTGATGTGTCTGTTTCAGGCAGGGTGTCCTAAGGTGGGTGGCTGGGGGGCTGTGCTGAGACACCCGCACTCTGGGTCCTCATGGGTCAGGGCTCTGCCCCCAGCGGTATGACTGCCCTCAAGGCCCTGCTACCTGTCCCACCTTCCTCACCTGCAAACTGGGCCCCATGGGCCACCCAGCCTGTGGTGGTGGCTAGAGGAGAGCACTAGAGGCTAGAGGTAGGGCAGGGGAGGCTGGCAGGGTGCACTGTGGGGTGGGCGTCCCTGGGGTCTCACCCCCCCCACCCCGGAACGGGGGGAGGAGCAGGTGCAAAAATCTGGAGAGAGGAGGGAGTGGGTGCTTTCCCGAGTCTCCCACTCCCACCCCTGGGTGGAGGGAGGCAGGGCTGGGAGCACATTCACCGATTCACCCCTGCGTCCTCTTGTGACACACAGCACCTGTGGGGGGCGGGAGTCTGACCTCTGTTTCCTGGATAAGGAAACGAGGCCAGTTACCTCCTGAGCATGTGTTTATAAAGCAGGTCTATGCGCCAGGCACTGCCGGGCACTGGAGACACAGCGAGGACCAAAGAAGGATTCCTCGGGGGCCTGCGTTCTAGCAGGCGGACTAGAGTTGCCCTGGTGAGCCGCACAGAGCGGGAAGGCACTTGCCTGGTATCCCATAGCCCAGGCAGGATGAAATCCCAGCTCCCGACCCCTAAGCCCAGGGCTCCACCTCTCACTTCCAGGTGATGGGGAGAAAGGAAAGTCGTCACAGGGGCTGCTGGACGCCCGGCCTCAGCTAGGCTCATTCCTGCCCTGACCCCACAGGTGTAGGGGGATCGATACAGAAACTTCCCTTTTGGTCCTTGGCAGGGGTGCTTCGGTGGGGTGCCTGGCAGGCACTCATTCTGGCTGCTCTGGGGTGAGTGACAGCTCTCCCGTGTCTGGTCTAGGAGCTTGTGGTGGGGGGACTTTCTGTCCCCCAAACCAGCAGCAGAGGTGGGTTTTGCTCCTGAGCCACTTCCCTGTGATCCGACTGATGGTTGGCTCATCCTTGAGACGGTGGCAAGGTCACTGGGAGCCTTGGTGTCACACACTGCCCACGGGAGAAGAGCGACAGCCTCCTCTGTGTCTTCATCAGCAAAGCAGCCCTTCTCCACAGCCCCCCGGTAGATCCTCCCTCCCTCAGCGGCCAGTCCCGGGGCCTGCTGCCAGCCAGGGATTCTGGGGAACGCCCGTGTGGTGAAGGAGGCCGTCCTGGCCTGTGGGGTCTCAGCCAGCAGGGAAGTGGCCAGGAGAGGCTTGGGGGAGGCTAGGATGGCCACAAGTGAGGTACCACCCTGCCAAGTTCCCCACGAGGCCACTGAGGGGTTCAGCCAACCTACCGTGTAAAATTTCCTGCAGCACAGCGTCCCCAGCTGGAATTGTTCGTTTATGTATACAAACCCCCATGGGCCCTAAACCTATGAGGTAGGTATGCTCTTTATACTCATGTGACAGGTGATGTGTCCAGAGCACAGAGTGGTTGTGAGCTTACCCAGTGTCACACAGCTGGTAAGGAGAGTGCGTTTTAAATCAGGCAGTCGGCTCCGGAGGCCATGCTGTCAGCTGCTACACACACTACAGGGATGTTGGGGCCCACCCTGCCACATAGGAATGGCGTGATAGGTCCTTTTGCTTTTCTGAGGCCCAGTTTCACCTGTAAGGTGGGGATGGTAACACCTGTATTGAGGGGCAATTAGGAGAGTCGGAGAAGCTGGGGGTGGAAGGGGCTTGGTAGGGCACCAGGCAGAGGTCACCGTACCTCTGGGACTCTGCTTGTATGTCCCTCCCTCAGGGATGTGCTGGTGACTTCATCTTTCTTTCAGAGGCTTTTACTAAGCCCCTGACCAAGCTCGGGTCCTGTACTGGGTGCTGAGATGCACCTATGAATGGGACAGTCATTGTCTTGCCCGTGGGGAACTGGGCAAGCCTGGGACACCACCCCTCCGGGGCTGCAGGGGTCTCACCCTTGAGGCAGCAGGGTGGAAGGCACTGCTGCTGTGGCTTCCAGTCTGGGGAAGGAAACAGAATTACAGTCTTGGGTGGTGGGTGCCTGGGGGGCCATATGAGTACAGAAGAGAGTTCTGGAACCCAGACTGGAGGAGCAGGGAAGGTGCCCTGGAGCACATAACATTTCAGCTGAGATCTGAAAGGAGTACGTTACCAGGCAAGGGCTTGGTATGTATTGGTATGCAGTAGGAGCCAAATAAATTTTTCTTGGGCAAATGAGAAATGTGTCCTGCAGAGGGCGCCCCACGGCAAAGGCCTGGAAGCCTCTGGTCTGTGGCCTCCAGCCTGAGTACTGGGGGCTCTGGGAGACGCTGGCCCTGTCTTGCTCCCTCCAGGTGCTGGGGCTGCTGGTGTGGGCCCTGATTGCCGATACCCCGTACCACCTGTACCCGGCCTATGGCTGGGTGATATTTGTCGCTGTCTTCGTCTGGCTGGTGACAATCGTCTTCTTCATGCTCTACCTGTTTCAGCTGCACATGAAGCTATACATGGTGCCTTGGCCGCTGGTGGTGAGTCTGGGTAGGAACCCTGGGGGTGGGTCCAGGCTGACCCCTCTGCCTCTGGGTGTAGCTGTGACAATGCAGCCTTCCCTAAATGAGAAGTGGCAGGTGGGGGTTGGCTGAAGTCCTCGCTGGCCTGTAGCTCTGGGTGGGGGAGGGAGGATTGGTGGTTCAGGTGTCCAGTTTTTCTGAGCACTGAGAGCCATGAATCCAGGAGGACTTAGGCTTGACTTTCTCCCACGAAGGGAGTAGAAGTGAGGGGCTGTTGAATGGAGAGACCGGAGGCCATTTGGGATCTTGAAAGTATTTTTCCTTTTGGGGGGTAGTCGGGATTTGAATCTGTGGGTTCTGACTGGCAGCCCTGGGCCTGGAGTTTGGGCTGAGCTGGCAGGAATCACCGAGGCTGGGCCTGGTGTGTGCAGGATGGGCTGGGATCGACGTGCCATCTCACCCCCCGCATCCCGCTGTCTGCAGGGTGAGGCCCCTGCAGCCTGGCAGAGGATGGTGTCCCGGGTTGCCCGGGTCAGTCTCCTTAGGACACAGAGCTGTGAGTGTCCATAGGAAGTACCCTGGCCAGACACAGAGAAAGCTGCTAGGGCTTTTCTCTCTGACCCGGAAAACCCCTGCAGCTGGGGTCTGAGGCTTTCAGTGAGCAGAGAGAGGCAAGAGAGGCACATGATTCTAAGACAAGCAAAGCTGGGACTAGGCAGCATTGTTTGCAATTCAATGACTTTTGAAGCTGAGGAAACGTGAGTCATCCTCAAGACAGACCGTGTTTGTTAGATCTTGACATCACTGGCAGGAGCCAGGTGGTGTTTGCGGCGGGCACTGGGCTTGGAGGGAAGATCCTGGCATGAGGAGGGGGCGGCCTGACTTCCTGGCTAGGGTCCAGCCCCTGCCTCGTGTCCTAGGAGCCTTGAAGAAAGACATCCCCGGAGATGGAGGGGCCTTGGTGTCTCTTAGCACAGATCTGGGGCCCAGCCACAGCTGCTGATAGAAGGAGGCTCCTTTCCCAGGCCATGATGGCAAGGCAGTGTCTCACCCTCCTAGAGGAGGCTGAATTATGATTGCCAAATTGGGCTTTTCTGGGATAGGGGCTACAAGCCCCCTTCCGGGCGCAGGTAAGAGGCGTGAGTCAAATAGGTCAGGAGGGGTTCTGGAGAACCACACCCATCTGTCCATAGGAAGCCACCTCTACTCAGCTGTTGTTAGTGAGAATGCAAGTGCCAAATCTTGATATTTTAAGATTGAAAGTTTTATATGAAATCTTAGTTTTCATATGAAATCAAATTAAAAATGTTCGTAATATTTTTAAAAAATCTATGGGATGAGCCAAACATGCCTGAGGACCACCAGTTTGCGATCTCTGCTAAGTGTTAACTGGCTCCGGGGGCCAAGCGTTGGGGGAATGGGACCTGGGCCTGGTTGTCAGCCCAGGACCCTTCCTTGCCAGCCTGGCTTAGGGGTCCTCACCCTGGCATTTGACATGGGGCCTAGAGCCTAGGATGTGGCCGAAAGGCAGACATAGGTTCTTCCCACTGAGGGCAGAGAGGGACATTGAGGCACCACCACCCCCGCCCCCGCCCCACGGGCCAGCCTCAGAACCAAGTCCTCGGGCAACAGGGAGGGCCAGGCCTGGCTGGGAGCCAACACAAGCAGGCCCCGGGTTCTTCAGCTGGTGCACTCAGAGACAGGCTTGGTTTGGTCTCTTGCCATCAGGAATGGGTTTTGCCTTGTGGAACTGTTGCTGTCCTGACCAGGTCACTTTAGCAGCCCCTCCACAAACCCCCCCATCTCTCAGCTTTCGGTATGTTTACATTCCCTGCTCATATGGCCTCCAGGCTGACCCTGTGTAGACCGCTGTCTCTTGAGGCCTTTTTAGTGGGAAAGACCCACGTGTCTCCATCCCCATCCTTGAGCCCCAGCCCTTGTTCTGGCTACTAAAGGGATGTGCCAGGAGGTTCCACAGTTACCGGAAGTGTCTCATGTCTTAAGACTGTTCTCTCCCTCACCTACCCCCAGTTAATGATATTTAATGTGGGCGCCACCGTTCTCTACATCACGGCCTTCATCACCTGCTCTGCTTCGGTTGAACTGACGTCCCTGAAGGGCACCCGGCAGTACAACCAGCGTGCAGCTGCCTCCGTGAGTATGGTTCCCTGGGGCACCCTCGGCAGTTACAGGGGAGACAGGCCAAAGCAAGGTCTGGGCCCCTGGACTCTCACTGCTCCCTGGTCCCAGGCCAGGCACCTGCCACATGCTGAATTACCCTCCTCTCAGTGGGCTCACAGTTTTCCATTATTAACAGCAAAACCCTGAGGAACCAGAATGCTTGGGAAATACTTGGGTGGCACAAATGAAGTTTGGGTTAACTTTACTGTCAATCAGTCGTGCTGCAATGATTTAGGGCCATAGGTCCCCTTGGAGAATGTTAAAAGCGCTCTGTCCTCCCACCTGGAGAAAGGCACACACAAAAGCCTTTCGGTTTAAACCATTTGGGAGATCCTCAGGCTCTCCTGTGCAGCTCAAGCTTGGGCTCCACGCCAGGCAGCCAGTGAAGTACGAGAATCCCCTCCGTACCCGGCTCGCCTCACCCACGAGCCCCTGCAGACACTTCCTCAGTGTCCTTCCACTCCCTCAGTGGGGAGGGGGACGAGGACTGCCAGTCCTTTTGACAGACCAGGAAACTGAGGCTAAGAGAGGTGAAGGGACACGCCTAAACTGAGTCCTGGGTAGGGCGGGAGTTAGACCAGGACTTGGGTTTCCTCATTCTTTCTGGTGAGGATGGTTTTGAAATCTGAACTGTCACCAGGATAGAGACATGGAAATTCTGAACGTGGCCTTAGGTGCTAGTGTAGGGATACCTATGAATTGATTCCAGAAAAACTCCTAGGGTAGCTGAACATTGCCTTTTTAAAACGAAATCCCTGAAATGTGTCTATAAAGTAGCTCCTACCCCTTGGTGACTCTTAGCACATTGTCCAGTTATCCCTCTCAGTCTAAGACACACCTTGCTTGTGTGGTTAATGGTTCCCCACTAGAATATAAAGTTGGCACCCCAGAACCTGGTACCGATCAGCCCCCACGGTGGTTAAATGGGTGTATGGTTAAGGAGGTGGTGTGGCTCCAGAGCAGCTCATTCTGGTTGAGGGGCCCCGGGTTTCACTGTCTGCACCTACCTTCCGGGTGCTTGTATCACTGTCATAGCCCCCAGCCCCGTGTGCCGTGCTACAGACAGACTCACCTCTGCTGTCTTCTCTTTCAGTTCTTTTCGTGTTTAGTGATGATTGCCTATGGAGTGAGCGCTTTCTTCAGCTTCCAGGCCTGGCGAGGAGTAGGCAGCAATGCAGCCACCAGTCAGATGGCTGGCGGCTATGCCTAAACCACTGGTGCCATGGGCCACCCTGGGCCTGAAGGCTGTAGCCTGGTCCCTGTGCAGGTGGCCCCGCAAGCCTGAAGCGTGAGCCCTGCATGGAGTCAGCCCGAAAGGGACTACACTTGCTCTTCTCTGCTCATCAGACTCCTTGGGCTCACCCCACACTCCCAAGGAATCAGGATCCTTCCTCTGGCAGGCACATGGGCTGGAAGAGAGGCCAACAGCCAAGACCTCTCCATCCTCCATATTCAGCAGAAGGTGATGGGGGATACAGGACTCTCTCTGCTTTGTCTTTAGGACTTCGGTGTCCAAGGCTGGTACCCAGCCTTCTCATTGGCACTAAATACACTAACAATGACTCCAGACTTGCAGCCCACCATAGAATATGCCTAACAAGCAGCAATTATTTATCTCTGTTTTTGTTCTGGGAAGCTGAGCAAATTCATGAAACCGTTCTGATTCCTTAAAACATAATCCTGGCCTGACCCTCCCCCAAGCTAGCACGTCACTTGTAGGCAAACATGTCGAAAGAGGGTTATGATGCTGACAGCATGGTCTTCCTTTCCTACATTTCAGACATACTAGTTATTTTAAACAAATCAGTTTTAAGTGACTTCTCAATGATGAAAAGCTTATCCAGGTTTCCCTCCCTTTCCCAAGCCCTTGTTTGTAGTTTTCCCTTTGGGAAAAGCTGCGGACTGCCTCCTTGACACTGTTAATCAGGCACCTGGGACATAAGGGAGGGAGGGAGGGAGGGAAAGGAAGGCCTTGCTAGTGAGTTGTCCTGTGCTTGGTGGCGACTTTGCTGTTTTTTTTTTACAAAAATAAAGATGAAAGAACTTATTTGGAAAAGATGTTGGGGAATCACGGTTATAGATGCTTATAAACTCCAGGAAGCTGCAGCATAAGTCAGTACAGTCAGCCCTCCGTGGGTTTCACATCTGAGGATTCAACCAATCAGTTGATATGCAGAGTCAGCTGTATTCAAAATACTCGCCATTTTACATAAGGGACTTGAGCATCTGTGGGTTTTGGTATCCTCAGCGGTCCTGGAACCAGTGCCCCACGGATACCAAGGGACAACCGTACAAAGGTTCCAAATGCCTATTTAAAGGCAGTTCCAGTCCTGGAGTCACTCAGCACCACCAGCCACTTCTTTGACCTGAGTTGAGGTAAGATGACCAACTTCCTGCCTGCTTTGCTGGGACAGTCCCGTTCATGCCGCTTGTCATGGCATAAATTTAATAGCACCCCTTTTTATTCTGAAAAGGGTCTCAGTTTAACAGTAAATCATTTAGTCATCTTGATGAACTTAAGATTGCCATAATGTCACCTACCTTGACAGTTTGTCAAGTTCAGAGATCAAATAATCCAACTGCCTGATGCGCGGAGCTGCTACTGACAGTAGAGAGAGGGGGGAGCAGCAAAGAGGGGGAGTCCTTCTGAACGTATTTTCCCACCACAGCGCAACATGCTCTGAATAACAAGCCACAGGCATTTCTGGGCACCCCTTGGTCCTGTCTTAAAAAACTGGGAACAATGAAAATGTAACTAGATTCAAAGAGCTGTAGATGAGCTGCTCCATTGCGAAGGGTGGTGGGGGAGGACTAAGTCTGATACCCATGTCCCAGTTGGGTCCCAGGCCTAGTTTGTGCCTGTTGTCCTGGTGTGACAATTAACAGCATCCCTTTTTACTCTCCGGTTTGAATAACAGAGTTTGAATAACAAATTACAGTCATTCTAGAATTAAGCCATAAAAGGATAGTTTTAAGGAAGACCAACCATTTTCTTTTGAGGCTTAAGAGAAAACAAAATCCCTGGCAAGTCTTACTAGGTTTCTGACACCCTAAAACACAGCCTATTTTGGTGGAGATGTTAACACTCTTTGTCAAACAACTACCTGTTGGTTCAGGCCAATGCACCCCCCAGTCCTTAGCCCCTGGCCCTGCAGTTTGGGTGAACAGTGATTCCCATGGCTGAGGAGGCCTAAGCAATAGGAGGAGGCAAATGTCTCTTGAGGCTAGGCCTGCACGTGGGGCCTTCTCATCCCGACCATCCCTGAGCCCCTCTGAAGGTGGGACATGATGAGCTAAGTTCCTGAGCAGACGGAGAGAGTTCTAATTTGTTTTAAAAAATCAGAAAGCCTGTTTTCTAATGTGAAGCTACAACAGACTTGCCTGCTTTTTTTCTGAGTGAAAAAGGATGAAAAAGAACCATTTGCCTTTTTTGTTCATTTTTCATAATTTCATCTTTGGATTTGTCCACCTGCCTTTTCTCAGCCAGACTGAATAGAGGGATTCTTCATCAAGTGCTCCCAACATGCCTGGCCTGCGAGGGGCAGTCCCATTTATAAAAAGAGCAAGAAGGGTAGGCAAGGCCAGGAGAGGAATTGTTTTAAAAAGCCTTCGTCTTGAAAGACCAAAGTACTGATAACCTGATGGCAGCAGCAATAGTAAAGAAGGGATGACTCATTTAGAATGATGGTTTTTGTTTTTTCAAAACACCTGAAATTTTACTCATGGTACAAAAGTATTTAATAAGCGCCAGGTTGGTACAGAAAAACGCACAGCCTACAGCTAGCTCATCCTTTAAAACCAGAACAGCCAAGTGAAAAGTCAGTAGAGATTCTTGTTTTTACTTTAAAAATAAAAAAAAAAATTAAAAAACAACAACAACAAAAAAACAACTAAGGTACACATTGGGAATTGAACTACAATAGGTTTTCTTTCTAGAGAGGTGACATCCATGTTTTCTGGTCAGTAATGTTCTATCAAACATTGTACTAAACCAGTGTACTAAATCCAAGCAGACAGATGACCAGTAAAGCTGTTTGCTATCTCCTACTGAGCTAGACCGGTGGAACACTATCTTGGTAGGATTATTTTGACAGCAAGAAGGAAGTGCAGAGCCCCTACCCCAACAGAAAACCTAAGGAGCTGTTTTACATAGAAGGGGTTTTAAGCAAACCTGCACAAACACTAACAAGCTCTAAGAAAAGGAAACCTTTTAGACTACTTCCAGCATACATTGGTGCCCAGTAAAATAGGAACACCAACATGGAAAGCATTTTTGCTTTCATAGCACTAACAGCTAAAAAGCACACAGCAATATAATACTTTGATCTTGAAGTGGGTAATCATGGAAGTTCCAAGATTATATCCACTAGGTTAGCCTGAGTATTCATCTATAAAAATACGTTTTCAAAAACACATAAATGAGAGTTATAGAAACAATGGGACTACATGAGGACCAGTAGAAGACAGTGAAGTGATATAAGGACTGTACGTGTAAGACTAGGAACTGATTTTCACAAGTACCTTTTTAGGTAAAGGACAACTCTCTAAGTCGATTCCTACAGCCAAGACTAGCTGTGATAGTAGGAGTTTCAGAAATCTTGAGATGGGCACCTAGCTTGAGTTAAACCCTAGATAAATACTCCCAGTCAAAAAGCCCACTGAGGCTGTAGGACTGAAACTGACCCATATAAAAAACTGAGTGCACAAAAAGCCTGGTGGGAGGGCTTCCCTGGTGGCGCAGTGGTTGAGAATCCGCCTGCCGATGCAGGGTACATGGGTTCGTGCCCCGGTCCGGGAAGATCCCACATGCCGTGGAGTGGCTGGGCCCGTGAGCCATGGCCACTGAGCCTGCGCGTCCGGAGCCTGTGCTCCGCAACGGGAGAGGCCACAGCAGTGAGCGGCCCGCATACCGCAAAAAAAAAAAAAAAAGCCTGGTGGGACATGCAAGGCCTGCTGGGCCAAGAGAGTTGGTGATGGTGGGTTCTTCCAACAAGGACACACCAACACATATGCTGGGAAAGTGCCCCCCCCAGGTGGAATGCTGGACTTGGGCTTGGTGCAGGAGCCAGACTCAGAAGCTTCTGAAAGAGGTGTCTACTCAGGGGGGAGTACTAGGGTTACTGAAGACAAGAACGTGTCCCAGGAAGGTCAGGTCATTTTCTTCTGACCCATCAATACTTAACATTAACAAAGAGTTGCAGGACAGAGTCAGTCATTCCAACATGTATTCTGACATCATCAGCCAAAGCCTCTCCCAGTCTATTGGGCTGGTGATGTCTAGAAAGATCCCATTACCTGGAGGTGGGACCTAGGGCCGCAGATTGTTCTGGGAAGCTGTCATAGAAGATGATTTGCACAATGAAGTCACCACTAAACCGCTGCTTAAGTCCAGTCCTCGGCCTTCTTTTTCCTACATGAGAAGAGAGCAACTTTAAGAGGGAAGAGACAAAAAAAAGTCCTTTCTAGCTCATAACAGGGAAGGAAGTGTTCAGGGTGGGCCACCAGGGAGCACACAGGAAGAGGGAGTATGTGATTTTGCATTTTTATTCAGAGCTGGTCACTCTTTAAAAATGCACCTCTTGGGGACTTCTCTGGCAGTCCAGTGGTTAAGACTCCACGCTTCCACTGCAGGGGGCATGGGTTCGATCCCTGGTCCCTTGGTTGGGGAACTGAGATTCCACATGCCACGAGGCGCAGCCAAACAAACAAAAAAATGACCTCTCTTCACCAAAAAACATTTCTTTTTCCTATTAAGAACCTGTATTCCAAGAAAAGCAAGGCAATTAGACCTGTTTTTTGGCTTTGTCCTTTTGATTATTTAGGAACCCTATAAGGTCCCTGGGACATGTTTCACCAAAACCATGAGAATGTAATTCCTTGTAAGGGTCCCAGGCCCCGGCCAGCAGAGGATAGCAGCTCGCTCTGCTGGCACATCACTCACTGCTGGGCTGATATTGGCCAGTCTTACAGAGAGGAGCACAGGGGTGGTTTGTGCTCGACAGGTCTACTTGGAACTTTCTAAGCAGTTCACTGTGACTAAACAGACAAGAGGAACTTACTGCTCTATAGTCCAGAAACATTTCTTTAAAAGCCAGAAAATCCGTAAACGTGAGCAGCATGTCGAAAATGTCACCAGCCATTTCATCTTTATGGTGCCTGCAAAAGAAAAGGGTGGCTGCTTCATGAATGAATGATGATACAGACAGTCTCTTCGAGATTTCCCTCAAAGGTCTGGAGGGCCTCCCACCCAGGACCTAACCAAGTGCTCTAAAGCTTGATATTCAAGCACTGAGGAAAACAAGGGGGAGGGTCTTCTTTCAGAGTTGAGGAGGGTAAAAAGACGTAAAAAAGTCAAGCTCAACTCACTGTAAAGTTGTAGTGAAAGCCACCATGTTAAATCCAGGAATCCGCTCCAACAGCTGTTCTTCTATATACTTTTCTACCAAAGAAATCTAACAGTGGAAAGGATCTTGGTCAGACTGTGCTTTAAGAAAACAAAGCTTCTCTTCAGAAAGCCTGTCCTCCAGCACTTTGAAAACATTTCCTAAGAGCCTATTCTGTGTGCCTGGCTCCCCACCGAGTGCTGGGAGAACCCAGAGAACCCAAACCCAAACCCAGCTCCTGTCCTCAGTGAGCACACCCCCTGTGCCCTGGCCCCCCCGTGGGAGAGGCATTTGCAGGTAATTACGATGTAACAAGAGGAATGCTCCAAGGTGGGTAGGGATAGGGAGCAGAAGGGCTTCCACTCCCCACGGCGGGAAGTGAGGAGTGAAGTAAGTGGGGGCTTTTCTGCCTGGGTAGACGGAATCTGTGCGGAAAGAACATATAAAAAAGCACACAGTTGGAGGTAATCGCAGGTTCCTTAAAAGCTGAGGTTTGGTTTAAGAAACCTTCATCGACTCTGCCACACTTCTGTGTTAAGGGAAGAAAGTCCTGGAGGCTCAAACCTCTTCTTGGACCGATGAGTTCATAACAGGAGGCTGCACGAGGCCTTGGCATAGGGCAAAGACCCAAGGGGTCAAGAGTCGAGGTTCTTGGGTTCTAGTCTTGGTTTTGCCACCAACTACTTAGCGATCTTCGTCTTGGTTTTCACTTTTATCAAACAGTCTTGCATACCTGACTGGATTATGTAGTAGGAAAAAATAGTGTGTGAAAGCCAAAAGGTCAAAAGTATGTAAGTGCAAGGTATGGTGAATCCACATACTGTAACTGAAAGCAGGATTATGATAAAGCCAAACACGTTTTAAAACAGAAGACGAAGTCATTAAATATTTGGAAAACAGCCCCAAGAACTGTGCAGAGGAAAACAACAGGAGATGAAGACTAAATCAGATTCTAATTAGGCTTCCCGGCAGGGTGCTGATGGCAGATTATAAAAGTTGAGCAGATTTCAACATCATTTGATCCTAAATTCATAATTTAAAGAAACCCTAATCTCCAGTAAGAAACAAGAATCCACTTACATATTCATTAAAAATAGGTGTGTAGGTGAGCTTATTCTCTTCTGTGTCTTCAAACTCCTGGTAGTACTTGTCCATGAAATTCCTCTGTAATAACTGGAACTCGTCATCTGAACCACAATAGGAAAAATGTACTCTTTTTAGTGGAGACTAAAAATCATTCTGATTTCTAAACAGGCAGGAAGAAATGTCAGCAGAACTGCTTTATGGATGGCCAGTCTCTAGGAGGGGAAAGCTGAAGGTGTTAACCGTACAGTTTTGCGGCATGAAGAGCCTTCACGCTGCTGTGCAACCACCACTATCCTCTAGTCCACTTTAACCAGGGTGGCTTGGGAACTCCACAAAGGGTTCTCTTAATATAATTTCAGCAGCAGTGGTGTCAACAGTGTAGTGATTAAATGCATGGGCTCTGATAGAGGCTAGACTACCTGGGTTCAAATCCCACCTCGGCCACTTACAACTGTGTGACCTTTGGCCTGTTACTTAATTTCTCTAAGCCCCAGTTTCTTCATCGGAAAAATGAGGATGATCACAGTACCTATCCTATAAGACTTGCTAGGTGGAATTTAGATGAGAATTCATGTATAGAGATTGGTTCACAGCAAACATTAAGGTTTATGGTATTTAGGGTATTTTAACAACCAAATAGAATATAACTTCTAAAAATAAAAAGAAAGCTTCATAAATGACCCAGACTTTGGAATAAATCCCCTCGGCTTTCCCACAGCACACAGGTTACTCATAGAGGCCAAAAGAAAGTACTCCTCAGCATTCCCCAGAAATCCTCAGATCCACATGGGATCTTAACAGTGAAACATTTGCATTTAGGAGTTAAGGGTATGAACCTTTACAGGACCCGAAGGTATAAAAACTTGGTCAATGATTTTTCACTAAACAAGGCTAAGAAATACAGCTAGTAACACCAAACAACAGTGTTCTTTTCCTAATTCTCAGAAAACTTACAGTCAACAGGCAAGATTTTCTCAAATTTTTCTCTCCCACGTTTGTCTTAAGTGGTTGGTGCCTATTACTGCTTATTACTTAGCAGGACTTATGGATGCCAAAATGAATCCACAAATTCGAACTCAGAACCCAGCTGAAGTATGACATCTTGTTCCTCATGGACATGTGTGCTATGGCTATGGTATTTTAAAATTAATTTTTGGCTGTGTTGGGTCTTCACTGCTGTGTGCAGGCTTTCTCTGGTTGTGGTGAGCTGGGGGCTACTCTTCCTTGAGGTGCGCGGGCTTCTCATCGTGGTGGCTTCTCTTGTTGCAGAGCATGGGCTCTAGGGCGCAGGCTTCAGTAGTTGTGGCTTGCGGGCTCAGCAGTTGTGACACACGGGCTTAGTTGCTCTGCGGCATGTGGGATCTTCCTGGACCAGGGCTCGAACCCATGTTCCATGCACCGGTAGACAAATTCTTAACCACTGTGCCACCAGGGAAGTCCCAATGGCTATGGTATTACACTGTGACTTATGTCACAAAATATTAAAACTCAAGACTAAAAATTGATTTTACTCTCTGAAATAAACTCGGTTAATATTTTCTGAAGTTTTGCCAAGAGCCCCATAACTTCAAGGTGCCCCATTACCTGAATAAGCCCCTTCAGGGGACTGAATCTATGGTTACTAGTTACTTAAAGGAGTAGGGGCTGTAGCCTGTAAAGCAAAGCACAGTAAGGCTTACTTTGTATTACAGTGCGTTACATTAAACGTTACATGCAGCTTCATGTTTTCTCTCTTTTTGAAAGTTAACTCTCCAAATGGATTTCAACGTCCTTAAAAGCAAGGGCCTAAAACCTAAAAACCACAGGCAAGGAAGCTTACCCATGATAATGTCTTCTAAATATCCAACCACAGCATCAAATTCTGCATCAGAGGCGGAAGAGCTGAAAAATATGCCTGGATTAGGAGCTGTTTCAGATAATTCCTCTTTTTTCCAAAATGTATTACGGACATTTTCAAATGAACTTCCCATCAACTAGCTTCAAAAATTAATAATAATTACTGTCTAATTCAGCAATGCCACACAGAAGAAAACACATTTGACACATCTGTGACATCAAAGTTGAATGCAATGGCTCCACTTTCATAAAACATGATACGACCCAAGGGACTTACGACAGGGACAAATAAAAGGGGCAAAGGCTCACAGCGGACATCTTAAGGCTCCTCGCATTTATTTCCTTGGGGTCCTACTCACCGCATTTTCGCTATCACCCCACACCAATCTGCTTGTGGGCGGGCGTAAACTTGGTGCGGTTAAGACACTGGCCGGGAAGGGGGGCAATTAGAGTCCCTGGGGGTAGTGGTGGTGGTCTTCTGACCCGTGGTCGGGCCTCTGCAGCTCAAACTCGCCAGGTTTTGCTGACGACCAAGGATTGGAGGCGGGGGGCATTGTGACAGAGGCGTGTATCATCGCATGACACCGCACTGCACTCCTGTCCTTCAGGGCTGAACCCCGCCGCGGTCGCCGCGGCGGCAGAATCGACCGCGAGAACTGGGGCGGAGTCTTGTTGGTCTCCCACCCACACCGGGGACACTGGTTTCGCAGGGCGGAGGCAGCCCCGACCGGCAGCCTCCCGGTCTCGTGCGGCGTCACTCACAAAGACAGCGCGAAGCTCTCTTCCTCTAGGGCGTCCATCGCCGCCGCCGCCGCCGCATCCACCGCGCGCGGGGGAAGCGGGCCCGCCGGGCTTCTACCCCGCCCGAGGCCCGGGAGCAGCCTCCGCTCTGCTCCGCAGAGCCCCAACCGGCATCGGGAAGGCCTCGCAGCCGAGGCCTCGGTCGGTTCACGGCCCAACCAAGTAGTGCCTGCGCACGACTCCCCAACCTCAGGCTCCCTGGCTGCTGCCACGCGCCAGCCGGGCCGCACTAAACTCGCCGCTGCCGCCTCGGGGTCCCGGACTCCGTTACCGCGCCCCCCCCGCCGTCACCAAGGCCTCCGCGACCCTTCCGCCGCCTCGCGGCTCTCAGCAGCCAATCACAGGCGTGCGTTGCCAAACGCCAGGGGCGGGGCAAAGATAGGGAGAGGAAGTGAGGGAAAGGGATGGAGGGTCGCTAACGGAAGGGTCCTTTTTTTTTTTTTTTTTTTTTTCTTTTTTGCGGTACGCGGGCCTCTCACTGTTGTGGCCTCTCCCGCTCCGGAGCATAGGCTCCGGACACGCAGGCTCAGTGGCCATGGCTCACGGGCCCAGCCGCTCCGCGGCATATGGGATCTTCCCGAACCGGGGCACGAACCCGAGTTCCCTGCATCGGCAGGCGGACTCTCAACCACTGCGCCACCAGGGAAGCCCGGTCGGGCCTCTTTGAGCAGGTCAGGGGCTCTCTGACGTATACTCACTCTGTGGGGTGATTAAATCTGACGTCGTCTCCATTTTGAAGAGGAAGGAATCCAAGCCCAGAGAGAGCCTTGATTTCCTCACTTGCAACTTGGAATGAATTACAAGATTTAAGATGAAGCTTAAGGTCGTTTAAAGCGGGTTTTAAGAGCACTGTAAATCGAAAATCTCTTGAGAGCCAATCCCTTAGCTTTTGAGCCAGATAATGAAGACCTCTGATTTGCGAGACAGTTACTCCCTCTCATGGAAGGATCGCCCCACCGCAAAAAGTGGAGGTCTTGGATTTTACCTCATAAATATAATATTCACATCAAAAAGATTATTCGGCACTAACTGGTTTCTTGGCTAATTAGGCAAGATAAAAGTTGACAGAACCACTTTGAGCAACTACATCAGGTGACTTTGCTCCAGGAAAAGTCCCCCTCCAAAACTGACGAATTTTGCAAAAGGATACCCTAGATCTGTTTTCTCCTGATTGGATCACTAGACATTGTGTCTCTTCAGTTGCATTTTATTTTTTGGCCAAATGTCTGGTACATGTCTAGAGGAATTTTAGGTATGGCTTAAGTTTGATCTGTGGGTCAGATGGCCAGTCTGAATAAATTGACATTTTTGAATGGACATAAAATAGATATCAGTGGGATGTGGAACTAAAAATGGTTACCATGGCACAGTTGTATCCAGGGTGAGATCAATTCTCAGAGGTACTACCTCTTCTTACCACCAAGTAGAAGGCAGGCATCCAGAAAGATTTGCTGAATAACAACGGAGTTCTGTAAAGTCAAACACTGGTCACACAGCTCAAGGCAAACTCAGCAATTTCCTCATGACCTACTTTCTCTATAAACCACACTTACTTCTGCTGGACTAAATGAACTTGCCTACACGTTCTACTGCTAATACATATATGGGATCAGAGCAGAGGAGGAAACTTCATTTCATCTATTCTGGTTATCTAATGCTGTTACAAGCCACCAGAAAACTTATTGGCTAAAAAAACTCAATTATTTTGCTCTCTAGTCTGCAATTTGGACAGGACTTGGTAGGGACAGCTAGTCTCTGTTCCACTTGGCATCAGTTAGGGTAGCTGGAATGGGGCTAGAGAAGCCTCTTCCAAGAAGCTTACGCATGTGGCTGGCAAATCAGTATTGGCTGGGGTAGCTCAGTTGTGGATGTTGAAGAGAGAACCTGGGAGGTGGGAGGTGGTCACCGTTCCTCTCCACATAGGTCTTCCCATTGATGCTTGGGTTTTCTCACACCATGGCAGCTAGGTCCAAGAGCAAATATTTCAAGAGACGGGACGTGGAAGCTGCCAGTCACTCAATGGCCTGGGACCAGAAACTGGCTCAGTATCCCTTCCACTGCATTCAATTGTTCAAGCAAACACAGAGCCCACCCTGATTTAAGGGGAGGGGGCAGAAATTTCATTTATAGATGGGAGTAATGTCAAAGAATTTGTGGCCCTCTTTAGTCCACTTCACCATCTCTGGCTCTAAGAACAAATGGGAATAAAGAATAATAGGTATCCACCTATTCAGGCATGTGCCAGATACTGTGATACACATTTAAAAACACATTGTTTCCTTTTAAAATACTTGAAACCCTGAGAAAAACCCCCAAAACTCTAAAAAGTATTATCTCCATTTTACATATTAGGAAACTAAGGCCTAGAAGTTAAGTACTTGCATACAGGTAATAGGCGGCATAGCGGGGTTGGAACCTGGGTCCACCCCACTCCTAAGAGCCTAACCATCAAGTTATGTATGGTCCCAATCCCCGAGTTGTCAAATAATATTCCTGGAAATCAGAACATGATGTTTTTCTGCTGAAAACAGAATGGCAGACTTTTGTAGAAAAATAGAAAATTCACTTGTATATATGAAATATTTTCCATTAATAATACTTTCTTCATTTTGGGTTGGCATTAAGAATTGTTTTACGTGACTAAATAGCAAGAAAATGGACAATCTTGGAAACTGCTGATCTTAGTTTTCTTGGTTACATAATCAAGATGGTTGAAATTCATGCAAAAGGCATTTTCTGCTAATGAAATTGTTTTGGTTTCTGTGATTGAATCATCATTCCCTGGCATTCTGCAAATGGCACCATGACTTTATCCTGCTCTATCAATATCATTCAAAAAACACAGCAATTATTAAAATCTTTTTGGCTGGAACCCCGGGGTCATTTCCCCAATGACTCATTGCAGAAATTACTACAAATTGCCTATTTTTCCATCTACTTTTTTCTCTCTCCACTGAATTTACAGACCACTTTTACTTCTCTGCTGGACTACTTAAAAGTCTCCCTACTGGTCATATTATTTCCATTTTTTGCTTGTTCTCTATACTGCCCCCCTTCCAACCCCACTCCAATTCCATTCTCCAAATAGAAGCCAGAGCCATCTTTTAAACTTATTTATCAAAGCATACTTACATTCTTAAACTCCTTTGTTTTCTATTGCACTTAGGATAAAATACAAAATCCTGAACATGGCCTTCAAGAGCAGTTCCCTGACCTCTCCAACCTTGGAGCATGCTTTTCTACCCACTCAGTTCCTATCTTACTAGTTCAAGGGACTTCCATCTGATCCTGGGGCCTACTGAGCTCCTTTCCTCCTTAGTTAAGGCCTGTGCCTATAATGTGTTCACCTAGCTACCCAGTCCTAGAAGCCTGTCCTCAGTCTCTCTGCCTGGCTATATCCCTAGGTTCTACTTCCTCCTTTAAGTTTTTTTTTTGTAATGGATTTATGATTTCTTTTTATTTATTTATTTTTGATTAATTTATTTTTGGCTGTATTGGGTCTTCGTTGCTGCGCACAGGCTTTCTCTAGTTGCAGCGAGCGGGGGCTACTCTTCGTTGCGGTGCGCGGGCTTCTCATTGTGGTGGCCTCTCTTGTTGTGGCGCACGGGCTTAGTTGCTCAGTGGTATGTGGAATCTTCCCGGACCAGGGCTCGAACCCGTGTTCCCTGCACTGGCAGCCAGATTCTTAACCACTGTGACACCAGGGAAGTCCCTCCTCTAAGTTTTTACTAATATTACTCCTTCAGTGAGTTTTCTCCCTTTCCCCTCATCTAAATTAGGTTCCCCTTGTTCTTTCTCAAAGGCACGCTATTTTCTTTCAGGGCACCAAAAATTTATTACAATAAGGAAAAATATAGTTTTCTCCCCACTACCAGATATCAGCTCCACAGACAGATCTGTTTTGTATACCATATAGGTGCAGTGCCCAGAACATATTAGGTGTCCAATAAACATTTGCTGGATGAATAAGTGATTAACCTTGTTTCTTAATTCTAATACTTGATTCTGTCCTACCCCGGAAAGTATAAACCTGAGAGTATAATATCTTGGAACCTTAGCAGCAGGCACCAATGAAAGTTGTGAAATCTTAGTCAAAAAAGGCAACAAATGTTTTATTTCTTCAATGCAAATTACTGTATTCACCACAAGCTAAAGAAGAGAACATATATATATATATATATATATTTATATATATATATATATTTATATATATTTTTTAATTTACGGAAGACTAAAGACATGGAAAAAATCCAGCACCCCAACAAGTACGGCCAGGAAGGAAATCAGCTCTGTAATAGGACAATTTAATGAACCACAAATAAGAAAGGGTGGGAAAGGAAGAAAAAAATGTGCATTGAACTTAAGACACTGTAAAACTCAGAAGACATATTTACTATTCAAGTATAAACTCAGTAAGGACTTGGCATAAATTGAAAGGCAGCTGCTGAGGTACACCATTATAAAATAAGTTCTATGAATTTACAATTCTACCTTCCAATTTTCTGGGAGAAAAAACCAAACTCTTGAAGGTCTTCACCAGAGACCCTGAGAGGGAATAACACTTTGGATGAAGACATAGTCAACAATCCATGATTGAATTTACTATTCAAAAACATGTATTTATTTTAAACAATAGGAATACGTGCTCTCAGACTGACCTCTAAGAGTTTTTGAGACTACTGGTTCAAGAGTTGCAAAGTATATTACTTCCAAAAACAATACTGATTAAAAAAAATTTTTTTAAACAAAAAACAGAGAGACCTCATTTGATGGTAGCTTAAAAATACCCTAAATACCAAATTTTCTCCAATCTAACATTGCGATTAATTTAAGAATTCCTCCTGCATTGTTAAAACATTTTTTCCTCACAAAATGTGGGTACTGAAATTGGATAAAAACACCATGAATGTGAAAATACCACCAATTTTCTGCAGTTAAAAAAAACTAGAATGTTCTTTGGAATCACTGAAATATCAAAAATTTGGGTTTTTTCCTACAG